CGGTGACGTGTTCATGGGGGTTTCTCCAAAACCACTCCTGTTAGGGCTGCACTGGTCACAGTGGACGCTCCAGACCAGGCTCTCCAGGAACATTTAGAGGCAGGTTGCAGATGCTCATTGACTGCTTCCGGTTACTTTAAACACCAATGGGATTTTAACCTCATTACTTTGTTCTTTGGCCTTTTAGTAAAGTAACTGCCGGTTGAAAAACATCCCTTGGTAAAAATCAGACCCGAACCAAACTGTGTATCCCTTCCTTGGGTTGTGAAAGAGAACATGAAGAAATGCGCCAACCACACAGTCAGGTCAGAGGAGCTGGGCCTGCGTGAGAATGTGGAGGTCAGAAACCATTCGAGCGCAAGGCAGGCTGACTGTGTGGTGACTAGAGGGGTGAGACGTATGGCTTTGCAATCTCCCAGTCTCTTGTAATTACCATGGTCAAATACATCCAAGCCTGCCTGCCATCATGGAAATGTGAATAGAGTGCGTGTGCCTGCTAGGTCCGATTCAATTTCTTCTGCTTGTTGTCCTCTCTAGGAGTGAAATACCGCTGGATTCTGGTCCTGTGCGCCCATCTGCACAGAGCTCCACCCTTGCATGTGGGGAGCATGGCTGGAGCCCCTGACACCCCCTCCAGCCCGCTCACCTTGCTTGGCATCTCTTCCTCCCAGCACCCTAGCTGACCTGGCATCCACCCCGCCTCTCCCTCCTGCTCACAGGCAGGACCTTGTCTTTTAGCTCTGCTTGCAAGGAGCGAGTCAGCAGACTTCCCCTTGAGGACAGCCACCAGGCACGGCCTTTGTCTTCCCCCACGCCAGGGCAGCTTTGCTCTTCTTGCTGCTTCTCCATTCTCTGCTCTGTCATGTTCATGCTGGCTTACTCTGGGGCCACACAGGCACATGGCCTTTGTAACCTTAGGGAACAGGAGAGGACTTCGGTGGACCTTGCTGTCCCCAGCTGGTCATCCCATGGGACTGGTTCAGAGCTACCGCCTGGAGCATCCTGCAGGCTGGGGTTTTACCAGTCGGGCTTCAGGAGCCCCAAGATCCTGCTGCCTTCAGCTCTCAAGGTGGCCAGAGGACACCACAGGTGTGGCCAGTGTTCCTCTACACCAGTGTGCTGCATAGAGTGACCTCCCATGTGTGCCATGGGGGGAAGGAGTTGGGCAGCCTATCAGGACCATCTGCTATCAGAGGCGATTTCCTCTGACTGCCTAGAAAGGGCGATGGTGAAGGGCAAAGAAGAAAAGACAGTAGAGACTTCAAAGCATACAGGGGACTGTGCCTCAAACCGGCAAATACAAAGACTCCCCGAGCCGGCCACTATTTACTGGGTGCACATAATAATTGGAGGGAGCATCAGGTGACTTGGGGGGCAGCGGTGATCCATTTCTGATCTGATGCGGCTGCAAATCTCAGGCTGATGAGGGCAGAAAGGAGAGCGATCCCCCCTCAGCAGGTGGGGTAAGCTGGGCTGGCAAGGAACTCACCCTCCCCAGGTGAGACCTTTCTCTTCCGTGTCACTACTGGGTTTTCAGGGAACCAGCACATCTTCAGCTGATGCTATCTTGCCTTTGAGCACCACAGAATCACAGACCATTGAGGCCTCAGCTGTGACTGGAGCTTTCCGCAGGCCACAGCCGGCTCTCAGTCCAATAGTAAAAAAGAGGAAAGGTTCATTTTGGCCAATAGTTTGGGAGGTTTCAGTCTATGACTAATTGAGCTGGTGGCTTTGGACACCCACATCATGGTGGGAGTGTGTGGCAGAGGAGGCCATTGACCTTGTGGCCAGGAAGTGAGGGAGAAAGAGGAAGAGGAAGGGATGGGGTCCCATATCCTCTTGGAGGCCACACCTCCAGTGACCTCACTTCCTCCCACCAGGCCCCTCCTCTTAAAGGTTCCACCACCTCCCAATATGGCCCTGGGCTGGGGTTCAAGCCTTCAACCCGGGGACCCCTTATCCAAACTGTGCTGCTCAGGTGACTGATAACTCCCCAGGCTTCCCAACGGCAGGATCCAGGGACAGTTTCTGCCTCTTCCTTGATCTACCTTCTTCACTTCCCCCTTTGCAGTTCTTCATCCTGTCTCCTGCATTGGCCACTGTGACTCCATCCCGGCGGCTCCTTTGTCACCTCTCTGACTCGTCCAGCACCACATCCTGCCCTGGGGCCCTCTTCCACTCCTCCTCTGATAGTGTTTTTCTTTGAGGGACCATCATCTTTGCCTTTCTGCTCTCCTCATCTCAGAGGTGTCACCCTCCTCCTGCCTGGCTTCCTGTCTGGGACCTGCTGCAGTCTTGCCCTCTCTGAAGCGCCCCTGTCTCTACAGCATCCTCCTGGACCTGCTGATCTCACACTCACTGTCCCCACACACCCAGCGGGTTCCATGCCTGACTCAGGGTCTGCAGCTCCCCTCTTTGTCCTCCATACCATGACTTCCTTGGGCATTTAGGCTCCCCCCCTCCACAGCCTTCGGAGACACAGCTGAGCACATCTCCTTCTGATGGGCCCCACTTTGTCTGCAGACACCTCAAATCTCAGCATGGCACTAGTGCCACCAAACGGTGCTTCCAACCTCAGTGACCAGGCTCCTTTTCTGCCACCCTGTCCACGAGGACCACCCCATTCTGTCCACACCGCTTCCTCTCCACCTCTGGCCTTGGCTCATGACTTCTGCTTTTTCTGGGGTGTGTGTGGCTCATCCTGCTTTCAACTTTGATCTGCTGCCCACAGCTCCTTCCCTCTTTCCGGGCTGCAGTGTTTATATCCCCAGCTCCGGGCAGGGTTGGCCGTCGATAGGCAGCCCTGGTCCTGGTGATTCCTGGTGATGCTAGAGAGAGTGCCACATCTACGGTTGTGCCTCTTCCTGGGTGCAGCCACACCCCGGTGTGTTTGATTCTGGGGTATTCACCCCGTCTCCTCCAGTCCTGTATGACCTGGGGGCAGAGACCTCAGCCACGTGGGCTCACAGCAGCATCCTCTCCACTCCCTGTGGGCATTGAGCTTGAGAGCTGTCCCCAGGAGAGTCCCTGCATGCAGGGATGGGGTCTCCCTTTTGGGGACCTGGCAGGTGACAGCAGCCTTCCCTGGACTTCCTGAGATGAACCACGGAGGTCTGTTCTGGGTTGCTACAGAATTTTGTTCTGTGGGGGAGCAGGATTCAGCCCAGGACAGTGGAGTTTATTTTACTTGGGCCTCTGCATTGGGTTGCCAGCTGCTGGTGGACAGACGGTCCTTCCCCAGGTCCTCCACGCTACTGAGCTCCTTTGCTTGGCAACCGACAGGCAGGTGTGAACACTTTTTCCGCAGCCCCGCTCCAGCCTCCCCGGGCGAGGACTGGAAACCTGTCTCAAAGCAACACAGGTTGTCGCTGACTCCCTTTGTGTGTGCTGCAATGGAACCAGTGCTTTGTTTGGGTCTGGTCTCCTCAGGACTCCAGCTGACCGGAAAGCGCTCATCTCATGGCCCAGCGACAGAGATCTGTCTCACTGCATCAGTGGGGCGCTCCAGCTCAGAGTGTCCATACAGCACCTGTGTTCACAATCCTGTTAGAAGGAGCTACACCGAACCACTAAATCCTTAGGGTGCCGAGGTGCAGCCCGAGTTGAAGACAGAACACAGCCCACTCGGGAGCAGCTCTAGATGAGCCTGCATGCAGATCCCCAACGCAGGCGACTGCTGGGCCCTGAACAGCTGCAGGGGAGGCTGACCCAGGCACGGGCTTCTCCCCTGGAGAAAGGCAGTGAGAATGGAGTGAATGAACCAACAGGAGCGGCTGGTGAGTTTGCTTTGGCCACAGGAAGACCAGTCTGTGTGTGAAAAGTCGTAATGTTCATGCACACACACATGCACACCGCACACACACACACAAAGCAGATCTAAAATAGTGAACACACCGTGAACTCATCCTAGTCTAAGTAGCAGTGCAAGGCCCAGGGAGACCGTGTCGGTGACAGGCAATAGCACTGCCACTGTTCCAGTTTTCGTTAACTGTCCTTTTAGAGTAGTGAAATCAGATTTTAAAATTAGCTTCTCAATCTAATTTGCATGTGTGAATGTGCGCTGCTCGTAAGGAAAGGGCTGCTAGCCAGAGCTCTGTAGGGCTGATGACAAGGGTCTGGGACAGTGCATCTTCAGGGCCAGACCCGAACCTGACCGACCGTGCGATGGGTTGGGAGCTCGGCTCTGCCTGTCTGCAGTACAGGCCCCACCCCGGCCTGCTTGTGTCTCTCCTGCCTTGGCACACACACAGATCCAAAGGTCACGTGAGGCTTTTTATTGCTGTTTAAATTCGCTAATTGCAGACAACTCACTTGGAGTTCTTTGGACTTCTAGCACTTGCTGGGCTCTGGGACAGTGCACCTCAGCAGACAGAAAGGCCTTGCCAGACATCCTAGGACCTCAGGGACCCCAAGACCTGTCCCTGGGTCCCCCACAGTCTCCCCCTCTGCAGCCGGGTCACAATCCCATTTCTTCTGGCTGGGACATTGGTTCCGTGTGCCAAGGGACGTCTATTCTTTTTAGGTTTCTTGACTGGACATTGGAAGTATTTTTGGCACACAAATCGCCTCTCCTCCTTGTCACACTGTGTAGCAGTTTAAGGGGCTCTTAGGAAACTGGGACGGAGGTCAGTTCCCCCGCCGGCCCTCAATGCTCCATGTCTCCTGGCTGCTCCTAACAAAGCTGGGACTTGGGGCTCCCCAGTCCCCTGCCAACTGGAGCTTAACCCAGGCCAAGCCAGGCTGGGCCTTTCCCGGGGCCGGGGACAGGGTAAAGGCTTAGGGCATTCCAGGCGCTGGGGGATTTCAGGTGAAGGCAAAGTGGCCGCCCCTCCCTGGCTCCTCCACCAGCCAGAGAGCACGTTAATGTGGTGGTTAACATGCTCCCGATTTGGAAAGCGTGTGCTTCGTTTTAACAATAGAAGTCCTTACCACAACGTAATGGGGCTGACTTACACAACCTCAGAATGTGTTTTGCCTCGACAGGGTCATCTCCGTGAGGAGGCGGTACTGCTGCCAGTCCCGGGTGCTGCGCTTGCTCAGTGGGGTTTGGCCTCTGTGCTCTGGACGTGCGGCAGATGGACTCTTGGATCTTCCCGACATCGCGTCACCTTTGTCGAGTGCCGAGGGCTCTGGGTGGAGGAGTGGCAGGGCCCTCAGGAGAGTGAGTGGCCACAGCCAGGCCTCACCCTTCTCTTTCTTTTTATTCTCACACAGCTGGGATTTGTTCAGTCAGCCAGGTGGAGTGAAGCTGTGGGACAGAACCGGGTAGGAGGACAGGCCTGAGCCCTGTGCCTGCTGCGGGTAATGCAATCTTCCTGGCAACCACTGAGCACAGCCTGGGGTGTGGCTTTGGGCGTGGATCGGGGAAGATCGGACAGAGGGTAGGTGTCACCTGGGTGTCAGCCTTGCCCAGGGCTGCAACCCACTGGCTACGTCCTTCCTGGAGGCAGCCAGAGGCGAGGGCTGTACCCCTTGGCCTCCTGTGGGATCAGTTCCCGCAGGAAGTGGGAGACAGCCTTGTTCCACTGAGAGCCCCAATCATGCCATTGTTCCTGGTAGTAGGACCTTCTCCTCTGTAGAGGAGGAGAGCCGCACTCGGAAGGGCTCAGTGGTTTGCCCCACGTCTGGTGCTGTGAAGCTACATGCTGGCATCGGGTTGGGTCTGCTGGCAGCAGGCACTGGGCTGGCTGTCACCGGCTCCCAGAGCCAGCTGTCCTCTCTCACCAGCTGCTGTGCAGTGACTTAGATTAGCCACGATGGGAGCATTCATACCATGGAAATTGACAGGCACTGCAAGCCAGGGCCTTTCTGTTCCCACAGCAGAGCTGTTGCTGGACATTCACCAGAAAAACAAAGGACATTTACCAACACCCGGTCTGTGTGACCATGAAGCCCATGTTCCTCCACTCTGCTGTGTCTCCTCCTGTGGTTCACCGCTGGTCCCGTGAGAGCTGGGTGTCTACAGGGCATGGCCGGGTCGCATGTATGCGGGTGTGTTCCAGGTGGGCTTGGTGGCTGGGTGCGCTCTGTGGTGTAGACTGTCCCTTTGCCCTGGGCTCACTGGCTGCGTACATGTGCACTGCCCCAGAGAAGAGTGGCACACCAGACGCCACAGCTGGCTCCGCAGGGGAGAGGGTGCAGAGGCTGGGAGGCAGCAGGAGTCACGCCCTGAAGTTGGCCTCCAGCAAGACATTTAACTTTTCTGTGCTTTGGTCTGCAAGACCTGGAATACAAAGACGTCATCCTTGAAGTGAAAAATTGTGACCAGGTTTATCAGGCACATAGTAAATGCTCAGGACACAATAGCACTAAAAAGTGGACTTGCAGCAGCCTAGGGTTGCTGCGTTCTTATACCTCCTGGCAATTAGTCCTGTATCTATGTTTGTCTATTCTCCCAGTTGGGAAACCCACTGCTAATGAGAACAGCACTGGGTAAACTCTAACCCCGAGCACCTGCCATTTACATTGAAGAGTCGTAGAGTAGTAGAGAGAAGGGGTCTGAATTCAGTTCAGGTTCCAGCTGTGCTTTCAGCTTGAGATTCCTGTGTATCAAACGTTCAGGTTCCCTCTGTAGAGCGGGAATGAACATCATCTCTCTGACTGACGGTCATGAGACATCAGGCAGGTGCTCAGTATAGTTCTCCACCTGCAGCTCAGCACAGGAAATAGCTATGGAAAGTCAGTGGTTCTTTTTCCCTGTCTTATGGGCTTTTGGAAACACCATTGTGGTAAGATCTGTGGTCTAGAGATAAGCACACCTCAGAGGTCAGGCAGGAAAGAGTCCTGCAAGGGGGGGCCTGGGGACTCGGGAACAGTGCCCACCAGTGGGTGTGGCCAGCTCCTGACTTGTTCACGAAGACAGTTGATCTGCAACAGTCTCGTCAGAGAGGAAAGCATGTGAACGCCATGTGGAGAGGACCAGGCCTGGGATACAGCGTCAGCTTCCCCCCCCACCCCGCACCGCGTTGCTGTTGAGTTACATCGTGCGCTGGTGGAGCCAGACTCTTGCTCTGTGTGCCTGGAAGCAGTGGTGCCGCATCGAGGTGGACCCTTCAGAGTGGATGGAGGCACCTGAAAGCGGCTTTTGCTCTGGACGCCAAGCCATGCAGAGCAACTTCCTCTCTGTTGGTTTCGGCGTGGAAATGTGCATCTGCTTATAATTTAATAAAAATGCCCTTGAGGACAAATGATGCACCACTGATTTTTCAGCCTCTTGGAAGAAGTCCCCAGTGTTGAGGGACATTGAAATCAGACAGAGAAGCTTACATAATGACTGATTTGGTTGCAAGATTACTCCTGAGAAGCAGGCTGTGGCTTGCTCTGGCCCCTGGCAGATGGAGATTCATCTGGATTATCACTGGGCACAGTAGATAGGGAGATGCGGCTGACCTTTCAGAGAGGCCCTGGGCTCCCTGAAAATGACGATGTTACTCCAAGACTGCATGGAAAGTAAGAGCCCCGAGTCTGATCAGAACTCTGCAACTCATACTGTGAATCAGCCGAGTGTCGGTGGGTCCATCTGTAGAAAGAAGGGTTGATCGCTAGATTCTGGGAAGTCCCTCTGTGTTCTGATGAGGTCTACGACCTCTGTTCCCGCACATGAGTCTCATTTCGTGCAGTCTCAGGGTCCAGGCTTAGAACTCCTGGTTAAATTACTGCATTTAATTCTGGAATCAGGAACCAATATATTTTCTTATAGTGACACTTTTCATTTCTCCTGAGTCAGAAAACCATATGATGCAAGTTAATTTTATTTCTTTGTTCTCACACCCTGCAAAATCTATCCCAGAGGGTGTTGGCGTCTATTCCCAATATTTCTGTGGGAACTGTGATACCAAAGCCTGAATAACTGAAGTCTGGTATATTCTAACAGTGCTGTAGCCTTGGCTTGTTGAACACTGTATTTTGAGCAAAGGTGACATGTTTCATAGTTTTTCTGTGCCCATGGAAATAAATGGCCTAACATTTCCAGTGTGGGGGAGAGAGGTTTTGGTTCAGTACAATCTGACTGGGGCCTTGTGACCTCATCATGAATGCTCTGTTGCACCAGGAACTTTGCATCCACCTCTTACGTCTGAGTGTGGGATGGACAGGATGATTTTCCTTTTCCTGGGGGAACCCCAGGTGAGAATGACACTCGTGAAAGTAGCCTTCATCCTGATCACTGTGCTGGGCTCAAATCCTCTTGGGTGAGAAGGACCTGGGTGGGGCGACTCTGAGTGGCTGCCCCAGTGCCCATGGCCCAGTGCCGCTGCAGGCGAGAATGCCTAGCTGTGCGGTGGGCTCCGCTGGACCTTGCCACGCCTCGCCCCCAGCCCACGCAGCTTGGCTCCTGAGGAGCTTCCTGCAGGGTGGGAGCTGTGCCAGAAGCCAGGCCAGGTGCCAGGCCAGGTGCGGGCACGTGGACGGTCAGGCTGATGTCTTCCCTGTGGCCAAGCAGAGGGTCACGTGCTGGGCAGAACAGAGACTGCTCCTCTCGCTCTGGGTGCAGATGGCTGTGACCTTCAGGGGGAGCGAGGTGAAAAGGGGACCCGCAAGAATGTGTCACACACAGGCCGCCAAACCGGAGCAAGAACCGGGCCTTAGCGTTGTCCAGTGCACCTGGACCTGCATGTCAGAACATGTGTGTTCCCACGGAGTCAGGGACCCAGCTGAGGAGGACACGGCCTGAGGCCTGGCTCCAGTGTGTGGCAGGGGCTCGGCCTCAGTGTCACATGGTTAAATTGCCAGGCTAGCAGCCAGCCTGGGACACACATGCATTTTTAGAGAAAGCTTAGGCCTTTGTTGAAACAAACACTTCTTCCTTTTAGGGCCAAAATATATCGATCCTATGTGAGGAGGGAGTGACTTGAGAACCTGTCTGATCCTTCACTATTTGCCTATTTCATCTACTTGATTGAAGACAGAGCCTTACAACCTCTGAGAAGAATCTCCCAGATGGAAGAGAGGAGTAAGGCGAGAGGTGGGCTTGTGGCCCAGGTGGATGGCACTGGCTCACTGGAGGGACCCAGGCAGCGGGAGCTGGCAGAAACTGATGGCACAGCTCAGCAAACTACACTGAGGTCAAAATGACAGCTGCAGCAAGAAACCGACCAAAAAGACTCTTATCTTCCTCCTTGGTGTTAGTCAGCTTTTCAATGCTATGACAAGATACCTGGCATAAATCATCTTGGAGGAGGAGAGATTATTTGGCTCACGGTTTCAGAGGTTCCAGTCCATGGTCAGGGCCTCCATTGCTCTAGGCCTGTGGTGAGGCAGAACCATCTTGGCAGAAGGGGCTGGTGGAGCAAAGCTGTTTGCCTCATGGTGACCAAGAAGGAGAGAGAGAGAGAGAGAGAGAGAGAGAGACAGAGAGAGAGAGAGAGAGAGAGAGAGAGACAAGCCAGGACTAGAACATACCCTTCTGTGTCTGTTTCCACAGACTTGCCTTTGGACCATGCCCCACTTCCAAACAGCTCGTTCAGTCATGAACTTACAGTGGGCTGATCTGCAGGTGAGGGCAGCTCCCCACCATCCAGTCACCTTCCAAAGCCTCACCTCGGAACACAGGGGACTTTTGGGAGGATATTTTAGAATTAAACAATAAGAGGGGATTTTGTTGTTCCCAACACAAAGATATGCTAAATGTTGGAGGTTATAAATGTACCCATTACCCTGATTTGATCATTGCTCCTTGTGTGCAAGTACTGAAATACCACATTGTCCCCCTTAATATGCATAATTAGTACGTGTCAGTTAAAAGGGTTTGAACATAATAACCAAACCTGTGTGTGGAGGGCACAGTGTCCAGCCCTCAAGGTGGCATGGGCAGCTCCTGAGGACTGGGCCTGAGAGAGGTCTCCACTCTGCCCCATGTTCCCAGCCTGGCCACTGTGGGCCCCATCACCCTTCCATGACACCAGCGCTCAGCGCTCAGCGGGTCACTCTGCTAGGGAGGGAAATCACAGGTGGATGGAAATCTGCCCAGAAAGGCATCTGTACTCATGCTGCTGCAGAGGGGAGCAGGGCAAAGCCTGAGCCTGCTGAGGCTGTGGGGCTGCTTCCACAGAGGAGAGACTGGTCCCCACTTTCTGTCGGGCCCCTTGAAGACCCGACCGGGGAGGATGCCTCTGGGCGGCCGTTGGAATGGTCTGCACTGCAGCCTGTGTAGCTGAAGCAGGTGTCCCTGGGTGTCCTTGGGAGTGGCCGCGGGCCCCCGATGCCATGTGGCCGGCCATGGTGTCTGGGGACAGCCAAGGAGAAAAGCACGACGCGCCCAGGTGTGCACGGCCCTTCTGGCTGCACATGTGTGTGTTGCTTATCTGTCTCTTTCTGCAAATTCAGGTTTAGTTCACTCATGAAATACTTTACTGAAAATAGCTGTAAAATATAAATTTATTCTTCTTTTTAAATTATTGATTTAAAACTAAAGAGCAAATAAATCAGCAAGCAGTGCGATTTGGTTGTCAGCTAAATTGTGCTCTTTGTAGACTCTTCAGCATTATTAGCATGTATTCATTAGTTACCGGAGAGTCATTTATATAAAGTATTATTATGTTAAATTGTAACTAAAGAATCACATTTAAAATTGTTAGGTAAGCATAAAACTACTGCACAGTTAGGCTTTTCCTCCCACTTTGTGCTGTATTTATTTTCTCTCGTATTTTAATTTTGTTTTCTTGTTTAATCGCCTGATTATAAATATATGTGGAACTCGATAGGAGCAGATTTCCATTGTGTCCTTTCCAAGTCATTGTTAGTGTATGTTTTTATTTATTTTTGCAGTATTGAGAATTGAACTCAGGGCCTTCGCTCTGAGCTACATCCCCAGCCCTTCTTCTTAAATTTTTATTTTGAGACAGGAGCTGGATAAGCCGCTAGGTTGTGCAGGCTGGGCTTGAGCTTGTGGTGCTCCTCCTGGCTCAGCCTCCCAGACTGCTAGGGCCACAGGTGTGTGCCACATCTGGGTTTTTAGGTTCTTTGTGCATGATTGCTACTGGAAATGCTGCTGGCTGCAGAGGAGGGGTAGTAAGTGGCCTCCCTGGAGTCAGAGGCCCAGCGGTGGTGCCGGCGGGGCTGGGCACCTGGTTGGGTAGAAGCAGGAGGCCTGGAGACTCTGCCCTCCCTGCGCCCTTCTGCAGCCCGACTTTCTGAGGAGCCCATGAGGTCGGAGCCCTGGGAGGTGCCCGCCGGCTCCCACTTCCAGTCCACCACCCTCCACAGACGCCCGACTGGTGGCTGGCTCTGTTCCTGTCCCCACGGAGGCCTCCTGCAGGGGCAGTGAGGGCTATGTTGCTGGAGCGGCCCTGTCCCCCACCTGCTCCCACGCCCTGGGCCCAGCGTCCGGCCCTCTGCTCTCAGAATAAGCTCTGCCCCTTCCCCCGTGCCCACACTCCGGGCCACAACCCTGCCTGCCCCAGGCACCACATGGCAGCCCCTTCTGGAAGCCCCTGGCCCTGGCCCCTGGTCCCACACCCAGGTCATGCCCTCCTGGGTCCATGTGACTCTCTCCTCCTGCTGCCCCATCCACGCCAGTGTTCCCTCCCTGGGGACCTGTCCCTGACTGTGCCACCTGCCCCCAACCAGCCTGCCTTCCCCACCCAGTGAGGGGTCCTGCCCATTGGTCCACAGCATCCAGGGTCCCCATGCAAGGGTCACAGAAAGGCACAAATCTCTGATTTTAGATGTCCTCTGCTGCCTGCTGAGCTGAAGATGAGCCCAGGCCAGGCCTTTGCTTTCTTCTGCCTGACTGTGACACCAGAGCCAGGGAACAACCAGCCTGGGCTGCTCAGTAAGCACTAAGGGGCGGGGACACAGGGACAGCAGGCCTCCATGCATCCTGGAGCCGCTGTGAGCCCCATCGTACAGGCCGCAGTGAGGTGCTGGGTTATCTGACTTCGTGGCAGAGCGCTTCCAGCATGACTTGGGGAAACCAGGGTGGTGACCGTGGCAGGTCCACCTGTCATTCTGGTATTAAACCAACATCAGAGCACCAAGCAGATGTGCACAAAGGGAAGAGAGAGTGGAGGAAGTGGCCAGCAGCCCGGTGGATGGCTGGGCATTTGCCCCAAGCCTTATTTTGATTGTCACCAAAGTCCTGCCTTCTATTTCATCCTGGGGTGGTGCAGAGCAGAAGGGATGGTCCTGGTACAAGGGACGGGCCTGGAAGGCAGGCCGTGTCCTAGAGGGAAAAGCCACCCACTTTCTCACTGACTGTGTAAAGGTCTCCACCAGAAGTCACTTTGCAGAGTCTCACTTTCCTCAGCTCTGAAATGAAGGAGCTAGCAGGGCCCTCAACCTCAACATGGGTGCCGTTGGCTCCCCAGGGCCTGCCTGGCCTTAGACCTTGTGGCAGCTTCGTCGGGAGACCCAGGTACCAGCCCCTGCCTGTGGTCCTGGTGCTCCTCTCCTCTGAGGGGCATCGGGTTCGTCTCCCTCAAAGTTCCCCCCACCCCCCAGCTTGTCTGGGGCAGGAGAGAATGTCCCGAAGTGGGTAGAGGGACACCTGCCTCTTTCCT